CTCCAAGAAGGCTTGCTGTTCCCTTGTGGAAATAGTGCTAGAAGTTCCAATCATCACCTGCTAGACATGTGAATATATGCATATCTCCTTGTGGAGAAGGCTGGAGCTCCCATAAGTCCCTGAAGTTCAGGTACTAGACATTGTTCTTGTTTATAATCCAACAGCATTTGGAACAGTGATTTGTTCATTGTGGTTGCACAATAAAATTCTCCTGAATTGAATTCTGTATCACAAAACATACATCGACCTTGCGAGATTATTCTTGCAATGTAGCCATATGCAAAAAAAAAAAATCAAGCATGAAAAACATTTCCTTAGCATGTCTCCTGAAGTAAAACAACCTAAAAGATGATAATAACCCAAAAGTTTTATCACAGGTCTTTTCTTCAGGTCTTCTGTAAATATTTTCTGGCCTTGGGCATCAACCTCTTTGCAAGGTTGATCACCATTTAAAACATCAATTCCAAGGATTAAATCTAGAACACTCTTAAGAGTGGTGTGTGTGTACGCACATGGATGTGTGTTATTGTATGCACGTGCACACAGCTATGTACTTACAATTGAAAATGGAAGTCATTTTTTCATGATTTGGGGACAGTAGTAGATTTGAAAAATTACATATGGAGCCTATCAATACAGGACAGCTTGTGGAAGATCATAAACACATTTTTTAGATAGAAATGTTGCAGCCATGAACATACCACGTGTTCACCACTTCCCTAAGGTTTGCTCCTTTAATTGTAAATAGCCAGAAAGTCATCAAGCCAGAGTTTAATAAACTTTTAATTTGAAATGAATTACCACATGTTGTGTTTGTTTACCCATTATTAAATCTCTTAGCAACATATCAGTGGTAGAAACAGCATACTGTATCATAGCTCTGATATATTAGAAAACAAAACCATAGGGGATATTAACTGCTAATAATATGCTTAGGAGCTTCCAAGAAAAAAAAATAAATACAAGCAATAGTGGAGACATGTATTGGAAGAAATGTTTATGTTCTGTTTTTGCTTAAATTTGTTCAGAATAGGAGCAGAAGGTCCCTCTGCAGTCTTTGAATGTGAGGCTTACATCAGTCTCTAAGCTCAGAGCAGAACAGAAGAACGATTGGGTTTTTCTAAAACATTTTTCTAAAGCAGAAAAAATTCTTCCTCTCGTAGTATTTCGTATTCTCAGAACAAACATGTAGTATTCACGTTTCCTGTGCTACCTGTCCTCCTTTTCAGGGATCTTGGGGCAGCACTCTAAAGCCAAGTGAATAGCACAGTGCAGTAGGTGTGGAAAATATAACCACATTACCCTGAGGAAAAACTAGAAAGCAAAAATGATCTGATGAAAAATGATCTAAGAGTAATTGCTTCTAATATTCTGCTCAGTATCCTAAAACTAGGTTAAAATGTCAGAAACGCTGAAATATTATTAAGTCAGAACCCACTTTCTCAAAAGTTAAAAAAGTCTAAAATGAGATTTTTATCTCTATGCTTAATCCAAAAACACTAGAAAAGAAAGAAATCTACTTCACAAATGCGTGTATTTTACAGTGTCTCACCTGGCAGCTTTTGAACTTGATATTTAAACAAAAATAAATGGCATGTATTTTATCCTTTCTACCTATTGAAACCATAAAAATGTTCCTTTTATATTTCTTGATTTATTTATCTTAGAAAGATGATCATCAAGCTTCAAAATAAAAAGACTTTTTCTTCCTCTTCTACATCTCAGATATGCAAATGTCTTAGTCCATTTTCTGTGGTCATATAATAAAATTTCTGGGTCTGGGTAATTTATGAATAAAAGACATTGACTATAATTCTAAGGCTGGGAAGTCTGAGGTCTAGTGGGAGCCTTCTTGCTGCACTGGGGAACTCTGCAGAGTCTATATAGAGAGTAAGGTATCACATGGCAAAGGGTTTTCAAGAGATATACCAACTGGCTTCTATAACAAACCCACTCTCATGATAACTAACTCATTTTCTCAATAACCCATTTACCCAGCCTTTATGACCCAATCACACTGCTGCACTGGGACCCACGTTTCCAACATCCAAATTCTGGGAACATAACCCAACCACAATACCCATGTTATACAGAAGACATGCTAACGTGAAGGGAATTTTTGCACACAAGAACACCCCAGGCCCTTGTGTTGATAGGCCTGATTAATTGGATTCCACAATGACCCAGTGTAAGCCATTCTCCCGCAGAAACAACAAAATGGTTCTTAGCCACCGTACCCATGGATGTCCTCAACAGAACTGCAAAGAAATTTGGAATAGGTTAACTACAACAGTGGCTGGTCTCTGGTTTGGGATCCCCCTTCTGACACTGTCTGCTTTTTTTCAACTGCCAATTCCTTAGGTTTATTCAGTGCTCCCCCAACCCCTCACCTTCTCCTTATCCACACTAAGCATACAAACAAAATCATTGTTGTCCACCTCAGATATGTGCATTTAAAATAAAAAAGTAAATCATTCAGTCTACTAAATTCTAATATACGATGCTCAAAGCTGCATTCCTAGGATGACCAACTCCACTCATTATCCTCCTGAACCAGACCACAATGCCTGTCACCCACTATCTTCTCCAGCTATAAGTAAATTAAAGGCAAGTTTCTGAAGTGTGAGAAACAATACACTATGATCAAGTCACTTTATAACTATGGCATTTGTTACCTAGCAGCAATATATGTGTCATTTCTAATTTATTTTCACAAATATTTATTTAATACCAGTGACATATGGTTTGATATTTATGTATTCTGTATACAAAATTTCAACTTAACATTTCTAGGCACACATGACTCTGTAAAGTTATATTTAGTTGTCTGTAGAAGGTGGTATCTCAGTAGTCATTGTCTGGTGATAAGGCATGAGTCACAAGGAAGCAGATGAGATTTTGATAAGGAAACCCAGGGCTTGTTCTGAGCACACCCTATACAAAAGCAGGGATTCTAGGACTTCAGCTTGGCAGTCAGTAAAGTTTTCCTCAGCCTAACAGCATAAATTCCAAAGAACTTGAAAAATTCCAGCCTCAATTTGAGAAATGTTTATCACTCCATGATAAACAAACCTTATGTTGCCAGACAGAACAAAACAAGAAGGCAAAGGTCATACAGGAAGTACAATCGTGTGGGCTTTGGGTCTAGCTGTAATGGTAAGAATCCAGCATCCTGCTCCTGAAACATTGCTATTGCCAGAAGCTGTGCCCTCAAGACAGCACTCTCATTACTCTACACGCCCTCCCTGGTTGAACTCAATCATTTAGGGCTTTCCACTATGTTCTCACTGCTCTAGTGGATATATTCTCTCTCCCCACTCTCCACATCTCTCTTTTGAACTTACTCCTTTTTCCAAAGGTCTCCGGACATTGCTATTGAGGTACAATATAGATATCTCAAACCCAACAAGAATGAAATGAAGGTGATGGCTTTTCTTCCAATCTTCCTCTTTTATTTTTTATCTCCCAGTAATAATATCCACATCTACTCATATTCAAAGTTTAGAAATTATCCTGTTACCCTTCATCATCCATAGCCAATCAACAGAGTCATTCTTATTTTTGTATCAATTCTATTTCATCTCTAACACTTTCTTCTCTAACTTTATTATTTCTACCCTAATTGAACCCTTCATCCCTGCTTAGACTACTTCAAACTTTCTTAACATTCTGTTTCTGGACTTTCCCTCCTCAAGTAAAACCCTCCTAAAAACTACTGGAGGAATCTGCCTAAAATCGAAATTGTAATGCATCATTCTTAAGATCACCAGGAGGCTGCCCACTTAATAGCAATTTCTGGTCAGCCACATTGTTCTAAAAATGATGCAGAAAAGAGTAAGGGAGAATTTTTATTTTCCTAGAATTTTATACATGGATTAATGATCTGTCAAAAGTAGGGGAGGGATATAGTCTTTCAGACAAACAATAACTGAAAGATTCAAACTCTAAATGAATTACTAATGATTTAATTCAGACAGAAAAATGAAACCACACTATATTAAAAATAGTATAAAGCACAGATACTTACTGAATGTGATAATAAATTAATTTTTTACTAAGAACATAAAAAGAGTCTTAAATTTTGCATTTATTAAAACTGTGAAAATGAATAAAATAGGAGGGGGGGAATATTCATTGGAAGGTAAAGCACTCCAAAAGTGGTTGTCAAATCTAGGAAAATAATAGAAATATGCAAGGAACTTAAGATGTTTAAGGATAATTTATAAACATGTAGAAAATCAAGGATAATTTCTACAATAGCTAATGTAGTTTGAACCTTAAAAGTCCCCCACTGGTCCATGTATTACAGACTCGGTCTCTAATTTACCACTACTGGTAGGTGGTGGAACCTTTAGGAAGTGGGGTCTAATGAAAAGAGTTAGGTCATTGAGATGTCCCTCAAAGGTTATTGTGGAACCTTCTTCCTCTTTCTCTCCTTTCATTTACTGGCCATGAGGTGAGCAATTTGCTCTGCCATGTGCTCCCACTGTGATGCATTCTCTTATCACAGGCCCAAAGCAATGGGGCCAATCAGTCATAGATTGAAACCCCCAAAACTGTGAGCCAAAACAACCACTTTCTTTTTATCAGTTGATTACTATAGTAGCAGAAAGCTGGGTTGACAGAGTGGCTCAAGAAGTAGAGTGCCTGCCTAGCAAGTGTGAAGCCAGTACCACACACACAAAAAAAAGTTCCCAGAAATCTGACTTTCCAAATACAAGATATATTGTCTACTTGTCTTGAATTAAAAAAAAGAAACTCCTAGACTTTTGCTGTTAACTATAACTTGTCCAAACTATACCACAGATACTTACCAAAAAATAATTCCAGTGGAAGTACTGTATGTATCAGAAGAAAAATCCTAACATATAAAAAGAGACTACATCAATATGGAAAGAGTAGCAACATTCTCAAAACAATAACACTCAAACTTGTAGGGTCATAATAGGTTTAGAATACACAAAGTAGCATGTGACAGAATTACAGAGAAAATGACTAACCAGCACAAACAGATCATCCAGCACAGAGAGCCTAAAGATAAATAAGAAGAAGCTTAAAGTAATGAGGTTTAAAAAGAAGCCCCAGAGAAAATCAGAAGAAACTAGGAGTGGGTAAATTTTAAAAAGCTAAAGGGAGAAATACACACACAAAAAAAAATCACTGGAAATGTTTAATAGAAGCAAATGCAACAATTGTATATTGAAAAAAAATGAATTAAAAGATAAATTCAGGCAAAATTTATGAAAGGAAAGCAAAGAAAGCAAGCATTAACCAATATTAGCAAAGTAAAAAGGAATAAAACTAAAGGTTTAGTATTAGCTCAAAATTAAAATATTTCTACATTCTTTTTAGAGAGCTATAAAACATCTATTAGATAATATACTTAAAAAGCACTGGTTTTCTCCATGGAAAACTAACTTACTGGGAGGCAAAAGTGAGAAACAGATTTTATTTAGAGTAGTGTGACTGTATTTCCTGTTCAATAAAACTTTAACAAAAAGGGAATAAATTTAAAAATTAATCAGTAATATGACATCATTATGAAGTTAACCAATTAGTTTGTAATGAGTTAAATTAATAATAAAATAATTGAAAAATCAGTTTCTCAACCCTCACTTTATCAAAAATAAATAAATAAAACACCTGAATTTTTGTGCATCAATGAGAAAAAAAAAACCCTAAAGAAAAGTGAACAAATTATAGGACTAATTATATGAATATATGGAGAAAATGCCCAAAACTTAGTTATGCTTAGGAACATTCTAATTAAAACACCAAGACTTTATTTCATTGTAATTTAATTGTCAAAACTTTAAAATAACAAATGTTGGTAGGATGTGGACCAAAGAATCTCTGCTATATAGCTATGAGGAGAGTAAATAACACAGCTATTTGGGATGACCACATCACTGTCCTGTGAATTTCCAGACTGCATTCCCTATGATTCAATAATTCCTCTCTAGGTGTGTGTAGACTTTACTGAATTGTCACCTTGTATTCAGGGAGGATATACTCAAGAACAAACATTGTGCCAGGCATGGTGACACAACACCTGCAATCCCAGCACTCGGGAGGCCAAAGCAGGAGAATCACGAGATTGAGGTTAGCCTCAGCTATACAAAAAGACTCTGTCTCTAAGGGAAAAAAATCCATCAGTGTAGGATCTCGTGGTGTTGTTCAGTGGTAGCTCTACATGCTTAGCATATACGAAGTCCTGAGTTCAATCCCCAGTACCCTTCTTCCCAAAGAGGAGAGTCATCATAGCCTTGTTTAAAGCAGAATATAACCAGAAGCAACAGAAACACCAAGAATAAGCAAATTTTGTTATAATCATGCAAAAGAATTCTGTGTCATCATAAAATTAATAAACTAGAAATGGACACAGAAAAATCAATCTCAAAGATGACGTTGAGGGAAAATTAAAGCTACAGATGTGAAGTGTAACACATCTGCAGAAAACTTAAAAAACAGATAGAGGATAGTATGCCTTGCTGATGTTGAGATGCATGTGTAGAAAATATTCTAAAATATACAGAGAGGGCTGGGGTGTTACTTAGCAGCATGTGTGAGACCCTGGGTTCCATTCCCAGCTTCCAAAGAAAAATAAAGTAAATTAAATAAAAAAATGAAATAAGTAAAATAAAACATAAATGAAAATAATAACAAGTCAGGGAGGGCAAGAAGTGGAATCAGGGAGCTGTTTACAGAGGGTTTTAAATACATATAAATTTTTAAATTTTGTAAAGCAAATATGGGAAAATAGCAAGAACTGGCAGAGCAGAGGGCTGAGAACAAGTGTATATTAGCTTATGTTCTATGCAGTATAATTAAAATATTCAATAATTAAAAATTGAAAAGGCAGAGTGCTCATAATGGGGCTTGTCACTGGTAACACTTGCAGTTTTAGTGCATGTTATGGTATTATTGCTGTTATCACAGTTACTGTCAATCCTTCTCCCACCATTGCTACTAATATTATTATTTATTTCTAGAGACCCTTTCTGTTAAAGTAAAGGAAATAATTATTTACTGCAAAAGATAATAATCTCTAATATATCTCTTCTACAAATCAGAACTTTTGCAAATCAAATATGAAACAAATTTTATTTGCTTACTTAGTACTTGCTAAAACCAATCTTTAAAAGCATGCTTTTTAAAATATAAACAACTATAAAATTATAAACGATAATAAACCATGATAAAATTATAAGCTATATTATTTGGAAACTTTTTCTGAGAACATTTGAACTTTCATATGAATTTTTCAGTTACTAGTCTCAAGAGCATACAAGAAAGACTAAAATTTAGAAATAAAAACCAAAAGAAGTCAAGTTAACCCTTCTCAAAAACAACGACAACAACAAAAAACTTTTAAAAAGCATTCTAAAAGCAACAAGGCCATGGAGAAAAATTTACTTATGTTTCAACGAAGTAGTTTAATATTTTACTCATGTAATAGACAATGTGAAAATTAACATTTTTCTCAATGCTTACATTCTCCTTCAATAGCTTTGTACAGGAAACAATGCATTTGTTAAGAATACATCTTACTTAGTTTCATTTAATGTAACAAAACTTGAAATATTAGATTTAGAATTCTTAAAAACCAAAAGCAAGTCAACCAACCGAGAAGAGCGTAAGGCAGACTGAGCTCCACCATCCATCGATGCACAAATGTCTTCTCCCGAAGGTCCAGTTGATTCATCCACACCTAATTTTGTTTTCTCTGAGCCAGCCATTAGACACACCAGAAATTCAGGGGAAAGCTGAGTATGGTTCTTTTGATCATCCAAATGTAAAGGAACTTTAATTACCTATTAAGCGGTAAATCTGTTATTTAAACTATCAAAAATATGACATTACATAGTTAATTTTTCTTTACAAATGAGACAATTTGATAAATCTAAAAGGTCAATAATGAACTCAGTTTTCCAGACCATGTAGCTTTTGTTTAATTATGTTACAAAGAAATGATAATTTTTTGTATTAAACAATTTACATAATCACTGTGCTCTCTATGTTAATTGATTTTTGTTGTAATTTATAATTTTTTTAATTTCTGTTTTTAAGAAAACTGTTTCCCAAACACTCATACTGAGATGAAATTATCAAGTATTCATTCAGTATTTGTTATCTCCAACAAGAAATATTTGGAGTTGAAAAAAAAATGACAAGAGTAGGATCTAGTGGTGAATAAATAAATGGGTGCTCACTGTACAATTCTTCAAATATTATTATGTTTGAAATTTAAATAATACAGTGCTTCAGGAAAATAGTCAATGACAAAGGAAATGAAATATCCCCCAAAAATGAGGAACTGACAGAAAACATTTCCCAGAAAAGAGCTACAAGCTATCTCATTTGCTAATTTTCCCCCATGTCCTTGCACACATGCTATGGAGGCTTAAGAGAGAGTTGTTTGTCAGCTTCCTCATCCGGCTCAGTTATTAGGCTGGTTCTTGTCCCTAATGCCATGTGGCAGAACACAAGGAGCCACAGCACAACCATGTGCCCTGGCTCTGCCTGGATCTCTCTGGGGCAGTCTCCTTCCACTGACACACCAGGAGGGAAAGAACCAGAGTTCCCTGTTTCCTTCAATGTCTTCAGCCTGAATTGTCAAAATCGCTCTCCTGTTCATCATTTGCTTTACCCTACTTTTTTCTCCCCAATTCAAAGCTGTCTCTTCTTGAGGAACCTCAGCAGTTACTTGATCAGAAATGTTTGCTTTTGAGAACACTCACATTTGGAAAATGTACATATTTCAGAATTTTACATAAAAGAAAAATCAAGTTATTCTACCTATTCTCATTAACAAGACTCACTCACCCATGAAATATACAGAGGGAGAAGGGAAATTCCTAATATTTGTGATTAAATAAGAATGTTAGTGAACAATTATGTTCATCTGTAACAAATAATGGTCAACCAAATTCTATGGGTAAATCATAGCATTACTTTTTCCACAAAGCTTTTTAAAATAATAAATCATAGAAAAAAGAGAAAATCTTCAGTCTTTAAGTTTATGCAGATTTTAATCAAATTATTTTATTTTAATGATTTAATAAATAATAACCTATATTCCTGTAGCTTTTAAACCTTACTTCTTGATTTAATCTCGAATACAAATTCTCTTTGTACTATCTAAACAGTATTTTATGGAACAAAATTAGCACTGACTTTCCATACCACAATTTCTATAAAAATGATAGCTGCCTTTCAATCAACTGCATCAAAATTTACTTTTTTTCTGCAGTGCTGGGGGTTTAACTCAGCACTGCTAGGTTTAACTAGCACTTGCTAGGTGGCATTCTACCACCTGACCCACGCCCCCAGCCCTTTTGGCTTTCATTATTTTTAAGATGGGGTCTTATATTTATGCCCAGTCTGGCCTGCACACGAACCTCCTATTTAAGCTTCCCAAGTAGCTGGGATGACAGATGCGCACCACCACACTCAGTTTTATCACTGGAGATGGAGGTCTCTAGAGCTATTTGCCTGGGGCTGGCCTCCATCCTCCAGATCTCTGCCTGCTGAGTGGCTAAATACAGTTGTAAGCCATCATGCCACGCCCATAATTTACTTTCTGTTAGGGCTATATTTTAATTTTTATTTTGTTTTGACTCTTGATACAGTATTCAAGTCTCTAGGTTTTGAAACATATTGTTTTCTAGACAGAGTTTTTATAGTCATCTTCAAAATTTGGGAGTTTTTCTTTGCATTCATTCATAATAACTTCCTTTTCAAGATTATTTATATCAGTGTTTTTGATCCTTAAAAGTTTTTAGCAACTTCTGGTGCATGAGATGCCACCAAAAAAAAAAAAAAAGTACCAAATTCTCTGAGAATAAGGCCCAGGCAGTAGTATTTTTAAAGCTTTCTAAATGGTTTTATTTTAGGATTGCCCTGCTTCCAGAATGAAAAGGAAGGCATATATCCATTTAAGTTATTTTCTTAATAGTATACCTAGATTGCACCAACAACATATTTCAACAAACTATTATAACAGAATCAGATAAAAGGGAAAAATGAGAGATAATTGTACCCCAAATAAATGGGAAACAAAGATAATCACTCAAGATGCATAAGAAGCTACTGAATTTACGGCCAAAATTATGTTTCCTGGAAATATACATGTTAGTGAGTTCCACTAATTATATAAGAGAGAGAAGGGGAGGAAGAAAGGAAAAAAGGAAGGAAGGAAGGAAAGAAAAAAGAAAGAAGGAAGGAAGGAAAGAAAAAAGAAAGAAGAGGAGGGAGGGAAGAAGAAAGGAAGGAAGAAAGAAGACAATCAAACATGAAGGTAAGGAAGAAAAACTCATGTCACAGGCAACCTGGGGTGGGAGAAAATAAACAGGAAAAGCGAATTTGGACATATAGAACAAAATGAATAGATTACAAATTTATTAGAATGCTTTATATTTAATGTATGTTACCATTTTATTTTCTGCACCCTCCATGGTGATTGCCTAGGATGAATTTATGCTTAGGATGTCATTTTTGCTAAAAGACTTGGTTAGAAAGCAGACAGGATGCCAAGCATAGCCAAATAAATGGTATATGCCCAATTTATTAGTTCATTTTGGATATTTGAGGTAGACAAAAAGATAGCATGTTTTGAAGTGGTTAGGCTAAGGGAGATAGCTTTGTGATGGACACTTGACAGATAGGTGGCAAAAGTTCAGAAGACAGAGACCACATCTTATCCCTTCTGTATCCTAGAACAGGAAATGCCCAACATACAGTAGAAACTTGGTAAGTACTTGGTAAGGAAACATGCTACAGCCCTACCGATACCGTGATGATGAGGTGGATCTGTACAGATAGATTGTGAACTGAGAATCACGGTGCTTGGGTGGCAGTTATAGTACATTCACAACATAGAAGATTGTATTAAATTATCTTTCACTTTCCTGTTAACTCTAAAATTTCCTTGTTTCTATATCTCAATTTAATCCGTATTATCAGCATTACTGATAATTGCTTATATCATTTTATGAAACTTTGCTTATTAAGATTTTCCAATTGCATGAAATGAAGTTAAAGGATAAAAAGAAGTAGCTTTGGAAAAATTTTTAATTCTCTTCCACTTACAAAATAGTATTACAAACCTGAAAATAGAGATTGCACAACCAGTGGTCCAAGTCCAGGCAAATCAGATCTTCAATTTTCCTGAAGCTGTCAAGTTTCTTGTTATATTGTCCTCGAGGAAGGGGACACTTGAATTTTCCTTCCACTACATGGAAATTGTTATCACACAAAGGAAAGATCCCCCAGCCTATGACCCGACCTGGATGAGCATATGTTCCACAAAGGAACAAGAGTTCAAACAAGAAAGCTATTCCGTGTTTCACATTGTTCCTGTCAGGGAGTACCTATGGAAGATATTTAAAAAAGAGAACATGGAGATGGTTGTATTTTTGAAACATGCTGTATCCAGTTATGCCATTAGATAACTTACATAAACAAGCCTTCCAGCCTCAGGTAACTAAGCAACCATAGCACCATGAAAGTATGACCCAAACAATAAGATGAATTTGGGCTCACCAGAAGATTCTACACTGTACGAGCTTTAGAAATCAAGCTTATAGTATGTTATCTAACACAGTGTTTTGTACTTTCATTCCTTTTTTGCTTCAGCTGGTATGCTATTGTTGTTATGGTTTGCATGTGTTCTCTGGAAACTTAATCCTCTAATTCATATGTTAATGGTTAGTGGGACCTTTGGAAGGTCATTAGGATTATATGAGGTCATGAGGATGAGGCTCTCAGGAGGACATCAGTGACTTTATAGATAAAGGAACACAGAAAGATAGAGCCTACTCTATCTCACCATGTGATGCCATCCACCATGTTATGATGTAGCAAGAAGGCCCTCAGCAGATATTGGTACCAGACTTTCCACCCTACAGAAACCATCAGCCTACTAAACGTCTTTTTAAATTACCATGTCTCTAATATTTTGTTATAGCAACCTGAAACAGGCTAAGACAACTGTATAATTATTTTTATTTCCCAACATAGTCATTATTTCATAGGCCTGTCATTCACTGTTGTATCTTTCAGGTACATAGCCTAAGCGCTTTGCAGAGAATAAATGCTTTTTGTTGAACAAATTGCCACACTGCAAAAAAATCTAAACCTGAACATTGATAAGTCAAATTATTATTACAAGGTCTAGTGTTAAAAATAAAGTAGGGTCCCATTAAGTTTTGGGACTACTGTTTATTTCAGTTGACAATAGAATACCCATCACTGTATGAGCAATTTGAAAGACGTAAATAAATAACAATAGGTATAAAGATAGATAAAATGACCAGATTGACCAAGCCATTGTCCATATTCTCAGATATAAAGATGGAGCCTATTCCTCAGCCTTCAAAAATATTTTTTTGTTCTTTTGGAAGTACTGGGGTTTGAACTCAGGTACTCTATTGCTTGAGCCACACCTCCAGTCTTCTTTGCTTTGGTTATTTTTGAGATAGGGGTTCACATTTATGCCCAGGCTGGTCAAGACCTAGCCTCTGATTTACACTTTGTGCTTTGCTGGGATGTCAAATATACACCACAATGCTCAGCTTTTTATTGATTGAGGTAAAGTCTTGCTAACTTTTTGCCTGGGCTGGCTGCAAAATGTGATCCTCCTCATCTTTGCCTCCCATGTAAGCGGAATGACAGGCATGAGCCACTACCACACCTGGCCAAAAAAAAAAAAAAAAAAAAAATCAATGAAATACAAGACAGGAATAATTTCTTTATTTAAAAAATAGATTATAGACTTAAGTTTCTTTTTAATTTTTTTGTGAATAATTTTAAATGGACAAAGATAAGAAGTAGTCTCAAACTGTTTTACAGCAGATTTAGCCAAAATTGCATACATGTATTTATATGATTTACGTAAGTATCTCCAGACTTACTTCAGGAATAAAATGAAACAGGCATCTGTTGAAAAATGCCATAACCCTGTGGCAGCTGCTATTAAGCCATTAACAGGATCAGGTTTCATTTAAACCAGATTTACCATTTTCTACAACAGCCCATGGGAAAGCTAAAAACATTAGGCACAAATTACTGACAAAAGAGATCCTTAATCAAGCCGTACTTTTCATTTGGCTAGCTAGCCATGAGTAACATCTGTAATAAGAGAATAAAAGCTGAATGAGGAAAGGAGAAAGGGAATCAGAATTCTGTTCAGGGGTCATCATTTAAAAACAAATTGAACTGATGCTATCAACAATAAGTTCATCTAGTTTTAGCCTTGCATTTAGAAGTGAAAACTAGGACCTTTCTTATAGTAAAACTGGTCTTTTTCAGCAAAGTAGGTAAAATAAGAATTTGACCAGGATGGACAATTCTATTATTAACTTCATTATCGTCTTGGACAAGTCACTTCTCTAGTAGTTAAGTTTTCATGCACTTGGATTTTCTCATCAATAAAAAACAGGGATAGGACTGAGGATGTAGTTTAACAGTACAGCACTTGTCTAGCACGTGCAAGGCCCTGAGTTCGATATCCAGGACTGCAAAATATATAGAGATATAGATATATATGTATAGATATATAGATGTACATACATATGCAAATATATATACATATATACATATATATAAATAAAAAATAAATAGGGTGTAAGTATCCTCATAGAATTGACACAATTATCAGCTTAATAAATATGTAAATGCTCAAAAAATATGAAATAGGCATTGTTTTTACTATTATCTGTTAGCATACAACAGAACAAGGGGGTTAGTTGTAATGATTACATAGAGGCATTAGGTGTGCATTATTCTTTGTCTATTTTAAGGAATTATCTCAACTACTTCTAAAGTGACTCAGATACGAATGCATTTTAACAAAAAGGAGAGAAACATAATCAAGGTTAAAATACATCTGAAAACATGCAAAACACCAGTGTCTTTTTGTACGTGACAATTCATTTGTGCTCGAGTCATCAAACACAACATATGAACACCATGCCACACTGTGTCACCTGTAGCAGTGCAAAAAGGGACCTTCACCTTAACCTGTTCCACAGGTTGAATCACACACAAGTACCACAATAGCCCCCAAAAGAAGTAAGTTTATGAACAAAACAAATCCCAGCCCCACTGACTAATTGAAAAGATGATAGGAGCCATAAACTATCAAATAAAACAATTTACTTTATCTAAACACCAGTTGTCTTTTTTATTTACTCTTTTAGTGCTTTCCCTTGATTCTGTTGTAGGAGAGACCTTTTGCCCATAATGTGTAATTTGGTACTCTTTCTTTTTTCTGTTCTTTGGCAAGAAAGATCACTACATTTCATTACACCTCTGTCAGAGGGTCTGTTCCACAAAGTTGACTATTTCCACAGCTATCCTTTGATGTGACATTTACATAAGTATTTTCATTAGTTTTTAAATGAAAAAACTATACATTAAGAGCAATAAATGTATCAGTGTCCTCTGATGTTAACACCAAGTCTCAATGCCATCTCATCACAAGAGTTATTGATGTTATGAGGTCCTGGGAGTTGGAGGTCATAATGTCCTTGAAGCAGCTTCATTTTTCCTGTGCCATTATGGAGACTTCTTTAGAAGAAAGAGCAACTGCAGAGATGACCTGGGATGATGCTTTTGATCTTCCATATCAAAGAAGGTCCACGTGAAAGATGAGTGGAGACTAGAATCCAAGAAGCAAGCGAGAATTTTGAAAGCTGAATGTTGAGTGGAGGACTGGGAAGGGAAAGAAAATTTTTTTTCCACTTGAACACCAAATACCTTTAAATTATAGCAATCCAGAATAGCCTACAGCAAATGACACAAGATGATAAAAATGTGTAATCCTGAAATATTGTTCATTTTGCTGTATCTTCTGAACTTTTTGTAGTGACTGTGGTTTTTATAATCAGAAAAAAATGGCGGTGTCTTAAAAAACAGCGTCATCAAAAGCCTGCTTCCAGTTGTGATGGAAATAGTCACAAATGCCCAACACTTCCATCGTAATAAGTAAAAACAGTTAAATTATAAAATTATCTGTATTTTTAACTAGTTGGTGAGCTAAGAAAACAAATTTATAGGGTACTAAATCAAAGAAAAGGTCAAGCCTGTTCTCTGTAAGCTAGGACTAGATACAGCTTTAATTCTGGGGACAGGAGAAGATGCCAGACCCATTGTTAGTTGAAAGACTTTGCAGAGGAAAGGAGAGTCTGGTGGAACTTTAAACAACATCACACTAATATGGAATATTGAATATGCATGAGCCCGTGACCCATAGCAAGTCCTCAATACTTACCAATTCTCAATCATAGGACCCTTATCAAGTACTCAGCCACAGAAGGGCAAACTGGATCAAGGCAGGGAGGAAAAGATATTTCCAGCAGAGTGAGAGAATCTCAGTTATATGGTGCTTTGGATACCAAGTCGAGCTGGAAGGAGAGCTCTTTTATAATGTAAAACTTTTGAAACCAGTAGTAAATTCAAACTAACTAAAGCTTTAATCCAACCTCAATTTAGTTCAATTCCTGATTTGAGCAGAGAGATCAATCTGTGATAGGAGATAAATCTTTTCTACTCCATTGTCTACAGTTTACTTATGCACAATGTCTTGCATATGATATGGGACATCGACAGAAGCAGAGAAATAGGAAGCATAGACAAAAGAAAACCAGTCAGTGAAAACTGACCAGTAGATAATCCACATACTGGACTGTACAAAGACTTTAAACTGTCGTTATAATTTTAAAAACTTAAAGGAAAAGATGAATATAATGAAAAGTTGGAATATTTCAGGAAAGAACTTTAAAACATTTTATAACACAAACAAAATATTTAAAATGTCAAAAATCATTACATGGACTTCACAGTAGAAATGGACACAACAGGAAAAGGACAGGTAATCTTTAAGACAGTTCAGTGGAAATTATCCCAACTAAAGCACAAAAGCAAAAAGAATGAAAAAGAAAAAAGAGATCAGAGCATGAAAAACCTGTGGAACAATAACCTGCAGTCTAACATACATGCACTTGAACTCTAGCAGGACAAAAGAAATGATACAGAAAAAAAAAGAAAAACATTTGAAAAAAATTTACTAAGAAATTTCCAAAATTGATGAAAGACATTGATCTACAAAACCAAGACACTTAGAAAATTTCAAACAGGAAAAATACAAAAGGAAATAATCCCCAGGCATCTCATAGTAAAACTGATGAAAATCAAGCAGAAAAGGTAAATATTAAAAATATAGGCTCATTGATGACATCTAATAAAAAATTTTATTATTGACTATTAATGGGATATAATTCATCAAATATCCATATTTTCTTAGCACAAAACCCCAAATTTAATGTAAAAATAGTATACATTGTATAGAAAATCTCTCAGATGCCCCTAC